ACTTGAACGCGAGTAATTGCCATGTGGATTTGTCGTGGGTTGATTGTAACAAACTCTATTCTCTCTTCTTAATTAATGGATGAGGCAAATCTTTTGCCTCCGTTTCAAAAAGGAAAAAAATAGTCCTTCGACGCGTTTTCCGCTGAATACGACCTCCTTCTTGGGGGTGGGGGCGAGCTGGTTTTCTGCTTCGTGCGTTTGAGAGGGGGCGACGACACCTTGCTAGTTCTGCGTCAAGCAGTCGAGTCGCGGCTTTCTCCGTCTTCCTCGTCAGGCTCCTCGAGTTGTGGGTTTGCAGTGGAAGACCGACGTCATCCTAGCATTGGAGGAGAGCCAGAAACAGAATGATCGAGCGCTAGAGATCCAAGCCAACGTGAGTACCTATCTGACAATCGTTGTAGCTATGCCTTGTAGCGGTATATGTAACCTCAAGGTTGTGAGCCAACAAGGTTGAGAGATTGGATATATGTCAAGGTTGTGAACCAACTAGGTTGAGAGATTGGAGTTCTTTTGGGACGAAAATCAGTGCAGAAAGAGAGATTCGAAGAGGCAAATGTATGAGTGAATTGGATTGTGTGGGAGCGTGCATGCACATTGGATCATGCCTACACATGCCAGCAAAGTAGGGAAGTTACAGGAAAGGAGGCCATTTCGGTGTATATGGTCTGAAGATCAGTTGGGATCATGTAGGATCGAAAACGACAATACACCCCAACACTAAACGACTAGCTACGGAAACACCGAACTAAAGACCAATAAACTGAATAAACAGGAATATCGGTCAACTCAGTTTGGTTTGGTTCGTTGGTTTTCTATGTAAAAATGCTCAACTCTATCTGTAATAGCCCCATAAAAAAGACTTAACTCATGACCGAGAAACAGCAAAGCGCGTCACCTTCTAGTAAGCATCTAACTTATCTAATATTTCTGTAAATCTGAGATGGAACGCTGAGGAGAAAAGGTGGCAGTGGGCACTTCCTGTATTCAGTTTGCATTCAATCACCTTTAATAAAATATAGATATATACTCCGAAGGCATGTCCTTGTAAAATTACAGAAAAAGTTCCTTACATAAGTGCAAAAAAGGAGAAACCACCATAGCATTGTTGATTTTGCATTACATACTTTGGTAGCACCATTAAGCCATCCCAGCCACCGACACACGGCGCTCAGTACACAGCTTGGAAAACTCTGAGCTGAAGCATGGTCAGCAACGCAGCACAGATCATCCTCATGCTCCTCAACACGAGCGCTGAAGCAGCAGAAGTCCTGCACCAGCCCAGCAGAAGCACTTAATATTACTACTGGTACAATAATTCAACAGTAAATTACGTGTGGAAGTGTTTCTTGTGAAATTCATGTGTTACAAACTGGAGTGCCTTTGGTATACTAGTAGTACGTGTGAAGTAGACTCACTCAGATGCCAGGAACTTGCATGGCCCGAAACCTATCAAGACAGACAGCAAATAGGTCACACCACTGAACAACTCATCATTAAAATAAAATATGTAGCTCAGCCACGGACTTATCAAGAGTAAGCACTCTACATCCGCTGATGGATGGAATGGAGCAGAAGATATATTTCAAAAAAGGAAAAGGAATTTACTTGGGTCCCTCTTGGTGATGGTTCCAGCGCCGCCGAAGTTGCAGGCGATGTCGGAATTGCCGTTCTGCTGGTAGAAGATGTTGAAGGCGTAGGAGGCGTGCAACAGCAGCGTGTTGGGCTGGTAGCAATGGCCGCCCGGCTGCAGCGGCGAGCAGTCGGCGGCGCCCTGGCCGCACGCCCAGTCCAGCGCGTTCTGGAGGTCCTCCTGGGGGACTCCCGGCCGCGCGACGCACCAGGTGACACCGTCAATGAAGCTCGTGTTTCCCTCGGGAGGAGACAGGGTAGGGATCGGAGTGGTCGACTCGGCCTTCTCCTGCGGCGCGCCTGCCGCGCACACTGATCACACACATGCATGATTCAAATGACACAACAGCGCTCAAATGACAGGGTAGAGCAAGTGACATAAGAAGGCACGGGCAAAGAAACAAGAGACATGTATATATGTGGTGTAAGAACTCACCAATGAAGCACGCAAGGATCAAAATAACGTTCATGATCAGCTCCTTTCTCTTCATGTGTGAAACAAAACTAACTCAAAAGACACCCCTCTCTCTCCCTCTCCCTCTCCCTCTCTCTCTCTCTCTCTCTCTCTCTCTCTCTCTCTCTCTCTCTCTGACCCGTCTCTTTCCCCTATGTGAGTCTTAGGGAATATAATGGGAGTCCGAGCGAAGAGCGCCTGTATCAACAGGAAAGAAGCTACTGTCCATGCAAAGGGCACTGGATTTCAGTTCACTACTCGAGTCGCTGAAAGAAGCAACTCATGAACCAAAAAAGTCCCCGGGTTGCTCACCGTGCATGGTGCATACTTATGGCCATGGCAGAGAGGCTTGTGTGTGCTGTGTAAACCAATGCAGATCAGATGCCTTTATGAATATAAAACAACACTGACGATATCGAATGACTTGAAGGCCAGGCAAACCATAGATTCTGCTGCCATGCCATGGAGGTATGCATGCATGGCCATGATTTCTAAAGGGACAAAAGGAAACCAGGCAATAGATTCCACGAGATCTCTCAAGGGGCCAAGTGAATGGTGTGTTACCTTTATTTTATCTTTTTGCTGTTTCATGGTAGAATGTGTCGGAGCTTCACGAGCAAAAGCTTTTCTTGTGGATTAAGGGAAGAACCTCCATTCGCTTTACAAAGCTAGACTCAAACCTAATGAATGAGGTTTGGTGAACCAGATTGCCTTGACTGACCTACACCACCTGCCAAAGGTAACATAGCATACTAAATAGAATGGAGCAGCTAGGAGTGAAAAAAACCCTGAGAAAAGGCTCCTCAGCTCGGTCGCCGAATGGGCCGATCTTGATTCCCTTCTAGTGAGTAGCTGGCAAGAACTCAATTCGGCTCGGCCACCGCCACATCCGGGAAACTTGTTAAGCTTAACACGAAACCACTGGCACAAAAGTGGTGCCAGAAACTTCTTTGAGAAAGGAAACCATACTAGCAGAAACCATCAGTGGTGATCCCAATGAGTTGAGACATATGGAACAAAGTAACACCAACTAACAAGGTTAAAGAGGACGTATAACTATAATATTGGGCTAACCTACCTTTGATGTTTGTCATGAAGAAAGTTGTATCTTTAGACAATATATATGGTCCTGCATTGATTTACTGAAAAACCTGATCATGTCGTGCAGACCTACTTTTCACATGCAAATCTACAGCGAATACTTGTCACGCAAGGGAAGCCTGCAAGTAACTACAACTGTGTTTGTTGGAATTTCGATTTCGAATCAGAATCTGGCTAACAGTCATATCTCAGTTTTGTCTCCGCTGAAATGGTTAATTTTGGTTACATGTGATAATTAAAAGTACTCAAATGTGTTCAAAAAGTCTGTAACTCGCACATCCTCAGAAAGAATGGATTCATGGGAGATGTGTCATTTTGGTATCTTACATACATACCAATATACTAGTTACAGGACCACCCGCAAAACATGTCTCATGTCATTGTCTATTAAATAAAAGGGCTCATGTCATTGTACTGTTCTTGTTTGTATATTTTTCTTCTAGATAGAAATAGAATACACAGTTACAATGCCACAGGAAGCTTTTACCTTCTATTTATCCACCCTACTTTCATATGCTCCAGATCGTTAAAATGCACGCATTGTGAAGATCATGTATTTGCCCTGGAGGGGCACAGTCCTCTGAGCCCATCAGTCCAACAAGATGCCATCCTGCTGTGGAATCCCCTCCTGGCATTGTCATGACTCAAAACTTCCAACCACACTTACCTGGACTCAGACGCACCCAATCAGAAGGTGAGGCAAAGTCCCCTGATCTTCATCGCAAAGTGGGCATCGGACTGGGTGGTCGAGGCATTTCCATTGCAAACGGTCTGCAGTCCAGCAGCAATCCCATGCTGCTAGCCACACGAAGAATCGACACTCAGCAGGTGCTTATGACTTCCAGATCATGCTTGTGAAGTTGGCCTCCACCCTAGTGGGGAAAAGGTTGTGTAAGCTGTCTTTGCCGAATACACTTCGTCTAGGGTCCACATCCACCAGAACTCATCTTCAACATGAGGCATCGGATTTGTATCGGCGACTAAATCCCATAGATTGAGGAACCCTGCAAACTGTATCATCCCTAGCTTTATCATGCCAATCATCTACTGTGAATCTTTGATTACAAGAAACAGAACATTCATTCAAGACAACCTTACTGTCTGAGAAAAAAACAGAAAATCTTAATGATCTGTCACAGTAATATCCCATGGAGCATACCAAACAGTAGGATACTGGTAGATTCTTTGTACGACGCAGACTATTTTAGAGGTGCAAATTCTGAAATACAGGTGCGTCATTAGAATTGTAGTATACACTAGCAGTATCAGCTCCCAACCTGCTATCTGCTGTATCTCTGGTTGCCTCTGTTTCTCACTTCCACATTTTGTAAGTTGGACTAGATATGAGAATAATAGATGAGGTTACCTCCACACTTCCATTCAGAAATTGGATAATGTGACTGAATCAACACATGTGTCGAGATCTGAACTTCTACAGAACTTGTTGTACAACCAGGACTCAGAAATTTACATCATAATATTTCCAACAATAGAATGGAGATGGCAGTATCCAGCTTCAACCTTGCTTTTTGATGTGCCATGTCCTGAAGCTTATTTTTTCCACTACACATTTAGCGAGTTAGACCAAGACTGAGATTGCAGCGACCTGTAATAGATGAGGTTGCCCCAATGCTTTCGCTGCAGTAGTCCTGTGCAACAGAAACCAGATGTTGTGGTTGAGTCAAAACATGAGGTGTCGACAAATGAAGTTCTATAGAACTGTTCTGCAACCATAAGTCACCAGCATTCCCCTGATTATAGGGCATGGAACCTCATAAACCATGCATTCATCACTGTCAGTCCGTACATGAATCAACTACCAATAATCTTTACATGAGCATTCTCCACCTTTGAAATGGTGGAACCTACTGCGATCCCTAACAATGATTTCATGGTCATATACCTTAGATATTAGCTTAATTACCAAATGGCAGTCTCCACACACCCTCAAGTTCTTCACTATCCTGATAGGAGTACCAGGAAGACACTTCAGCAAGGCAAAGGCAATGGCCAGCCTCTCGCTATGGTAGTTTAATGCAGCCTCTTTCTCTTCCTCCTCTATATCTGCCAATACATTGCTTGTGCGGGGGTCGTAACCTTGGCGCCTCAATCTCTCTGCTATCTCGGCAAGCATTTGGTATATCTGATCACTCTCAGGATGTGATCTATCGCCCATAACAAACTCATAGACCGAGTTGCGGAGCTCCACAAGGCTATGCCCTGGGTTTTTCCTCACTCCACGCGTGACCATTGTCTTCCTAAGGACATGGACATCTGCCCACCTCCCAACAGCAGCATACAGATTTGAGAGGAGGACATAGTCGCCGCTGTGCCCAGGGTCAAGCTCAACCAGCCGGGCCCAAGCAGCCTCCCCAAGTTCCAGCTTCTTGTGCATAGCACAAGCACCTAGCAATGTCCGCCACACAACAGCATTGGGCTCCAGTGGCATCGTGCTGATATAATTGTGTGCTTCCTCAACTCTTCCAGCTCTCCCCAGCAGATCCACCATACATCCAAGATGTTCAATCTTTGGTGCTATGCCGTACTTGTCCTTCATCTCATTGAAATATCGAAACCCATCGTCGACCCACCCGCAGTGGCTACAAGCATACAGCACTCCCACCATAGTGATATCAGTAGGGATAAGCTTCTCCCCCTCCATCAGACCAAACAGCTCGAGTGCATCCTTCCCAAACCCATTCCCTGCCAAACCCACGATCAGTGACGTCCATGAGACGACGGTCCTTCCCACCCCCATCTCCTCAAACACCTTCCTTGCATCCTCAACTCCGCCGCACTTGGCATACAGGTCAATCAGCGCGTTCCCAACATGTCTGTTCCCTACTAACCCAACCTTCGACGTGAACACATGCACCCTCCTCCCGAGAGCAAACGCCCCGATCTCCGCACACGCATTCAAAACACTCACAATGGTGAATCCATCCGGCATGAGGTCCACCTCGAACGTCTCCCGGAAGATTGTCAGTACCTCGTTGGGCCTCCCATTGGCCGCGAACCCGTTCATGACGGAGTTCCATGAGACGAGGTTCCGCTCCAGCACCGGTATTTCGTCGAACACCCTGTGGGCGCTCTCAAAGAGGCCGCACGCGCCATAGTGGTGGACGAGCGAGTTCTTGACGAAGACGAGCGCCACCAGGCCGTTCTTGGCGGCCTCGGCGTGGAGGCTTTCGCCTTCGCGAAGGGCAAGGAGGCGTGTGCAGGCCTGGAGGAGCGGCGGGTAGGTGTGCGTGTCGGGCGGCGCGAGGCGGCGGCGGTGGAGCGCGAGCGCGAGGCGTGGGCGCGCCGAGGACGCGGCGATGCGGAGGACGGTGTTGAGGGAGAAAGGGTCCGGGTCGGGGAGGAGGCGGGAGAGGACGGCAACGGCGTAGAGGAGCGGGGGAGCGCCGGCGCGGAGAGAAGCTAGGTGGAAGAGGAGGTGCTTGGCGAGGAGAGGGTGGGAGAGGGGCACGCCAGCCGCACGGAGCGCGCGCGCGTGGATCTGCTTGGCGGCAGAGACGGAGGGAGACTGCAGGTGGAGGCGGAGGAGCGCGACGCAGTGGCGCAGCGCCGGGTGCGTGGAAGGTGGTGCAGGAGCGATTGCCTCGCGCATGGCAATGGCATGGCCGTGCCGCGGTCAGGGTTCGTGATGGCTTTGGGGAGGGAAAAAGTCCATTTTAAACCTTTAATTTGTAGAGGTCAGGCGAAACAAACCCTTAAATCGAGATCCCGGTCGATTGCACCCTGAACTCTGCAATCCCGGTCTAAATCAAACCTTCGGGTCATTTTCCAAACAGGAATTGCTGATGTGGCAAAGAATGATCGGGATTGGGGAGGAAACGCCCGCAGGTGGGCCGGCCTAGTTCGCGGCAGCCCGTGCTGCGCGTTGTTGCTTCAGTTTTTTTGTTTGTTATTTGTTTTTTTTTCGGTTTTTCTTTCCTGGTTCTTTTTTCTTTTCCTTTTCCTTTTTATTTTTTATATTTATATTTATAATCTTTTCCTTTTTCCTTTTTTATGATTTATTTTTTTATTTTTAATGTTTCTTTTTCCCTATAGTGTTACAAAATGTTAATTGTATATTTAGGAATGTTCACGGTATATTACAAAAAAGTTCATCATGCATTATAAAATGTTCATTGTATATAAAAAATTGCTCAATGAATATAAATTGTACCCTATGTTTTTAAAATTTGTTCAGTGTATATTACACAAATTTTTAATGTGTATTCGAAAATTGTTCAACGTATATTACAAATGTCCAATGCATATTCGCAAATTGTTCAACACGTATATTCATAGTTTTCCCAAAATGTTCATTATGTATAATTTAAAATGTTCATCGTACATTAAGAAAATGTTCAATGGATATTAAAAAATCCAGGCGCATGAAAAAATTTAGCTTGAAAATTGTTTCACGAGTAAAGCTCGAACTCGCGATCTGCCGCTAGTGCATACATCTTCCAAACCAACAGACCTACCGTCTTCCAGTGTTAAATTAGGGGCGCCCGACTTTAAGAAGTAACTTACATCACCTGAACATTTTTTATATATGCTGAACAAATATTTAAATACACATTGAATATTTTTTATATATGCTGAACAAATATTTAAATACACATTGAATATTTTTGTGATATACACTGAACAAAGTTTAAATATGCATTGAACATTCTTGTGAATATATGTCGAACAATTTTAAAATACACAATGAACATTTTCTTAAAGATGTTGAATATTTTCTTAAATATACGCTGAACATAAATATGCAATGAACTGGTAATAATACACGAAAAAGAAACAAAAATAAAAATAGGAAAAAGAAAAGAAAAGAAATAGAAACAGAAAAAAGAAAGGAAAGAAACAGGAAAAAGAAGAAAAATCATCGCGACCCTGGGATGCCCAAATGAGGCGTCGGGTGTGCAGGCTTCAGCGAAGCCACGTCCTTTTGACGCCTGCAGGCGTCAAATAGGATCTGCCCCGGTATGCGCCCTTTGGAATTTTTGTGTTTGAACGAAAAAAAAACCCTAACGGGCCGGCCCACCAGACGAATCCCAGTTGAAACAATGTCAGGGTTTGATTTAGACCGGGATTGTATAGTTTAGGGTGCAATCGACCGGGATTTCGACTTGAGGGTTCATTTCGTCCGACCCCTACAAGTTTAAGGTTTAAAATGGACTTTTTCCCTTTGGGGAGGGAACGCGGCGCAACGAAAATCTTATATACTCCCTCCCTTCCTGGGTAAAAAAATATAAAAGTGTTTAGGGCATGACCAATGGAGACCCAATGGAGGCTGCCAGGTGCTCCATCAAACACATAGGCATGAGAGGATTAAGGCTATTGCTCACATGCATTCAGTCCAATGGTGGCTATGGTGGTGCTGCCGCCATGTACAATGCATAGCCTTAAGGTGATGCCTCGCATGTCATGTAGGATCGGATATGATGTAAAGTAGGTTCGGATAGGGAAGCGGGATCCTCTCCAGGAGGCGGGTGGTTGAAGAAAAAAAGTATGGTCCGGTAACAAAAGCTGAAAAGATGGAGTGGAAAGTAGAGATGCATGTATACTAGAGTCTTTATTTTTTATTTTTTAATGAGGCCCACTAATGGTAGCTTGCATTGGGAAGAAAAAATAAATGTAGATGCCTCAAATTACTTTTTGTCATGGGGCATATGTATCCATATGCCACCATTATACATGCCCTCACACGATCACACCCGTCATCCTTTGGTCCCCATGTGTTATCTTTTTCATTCTGCCTCCCCTTTTTTCCTCTCCCTCCTTACTTTTTCTTTCTTTATTTGAAGAACATGTCTTCTCTGCAAGCTTCACCTGGCACATGCAAGCAGCGGTCCTACTGCCACAGTGGCATCCGAGCCTAGTTGGCTTATGAAACATAATCTTTGAGGCTACCCATTCGCCATGCCCTTATAGATAACCAAAGTAGTGATTTAAACCTCTTATATTTCTTTACAGAAGGAGTACCACATTTTTTCTGGTTTTTTAGTCTTTTTGTATTTTGATTTTTAATTGAGTCAAACTTTAAACTTTGATATAACTACCAAAAAATAAATTATATATCATAAAAATAGTACTCCCTCCATCCCAAAACAAGTGATTAAACTTTGTACTTAAAATTAGTACAAAGTTGAGTCACTTATTTTAGGACAGAGGGAGTATCATTGAAAACCTCTTTCGAATATAAATTCAATAATGTAACTTTTATGACATATAACTTATATTTTGTTAGGTTAAAATTTAGCACAAAATATAAAAAGGACCAATAAATCCAGACGAACATAGTACTACCTAAATACACGTATGCTGCTACATAAAATAATATCTAAAGGGAAGTGACGTGTGACCGATTGTCCTCGGTCGTGGTGGCGCCAACTATGTTGTGACAACGTTGGTGTATACCAGCTCCTGCACGGAGAAGAGTGGCAAGATGAGTGGTGGGCAATATTTTTCGCGATCCTCGCCCGATGTCGTCCTTGATCCAGCAACCCAAGTTTCCTTGGGCTCTATCGCATGCCGACAACGGATGGGAACGCTAGTGTGTCATGTTGCATGCTCATCGATGGATAATGCGCATGGTTGCGCGACATAGCACGACTGTCGGTGCAGGCAGTCGGGATGTCATGCATAATCGTCGGGGCCTCGTAGGGAGCCACCTTTGTGTTCGCGGTCGATGAGCAATCAACACAATGCCGTCCGAGCCAGCCACATAGTAATAGAAGTTGGGGTGGCGACGTAGACGCCCTAGCGCACTCGGTCATGTCGGGAAGGTCACGAAAATTCCCTGAAAAATACCAAGGGGCTTTGGGAGTTTCTGAAATGTTCTGGAAAGTTTGGAAGGGTCTAGTGGGTCGATCCCTTGGTTGTCCCAAGGGAGCAGCTACATGGGCCTAATTGGGGGGCATACATTGCACCCCCTCCATCATGGGGGCAAGGCAAGCAGGTGTGTAAAGGGGGAAGGAGTCGTCCTAGGAGGACTCTAATCCCTAGGTCGATCGACCCCAAGGGGCTTCCCCTCCTTCAAGTCGGTGTCCTTGGTCATCTATATATAGTGGGGGCACACCCCAAAGGACACACCAATCCCTTGGATCATGCCGCTGATGTCTGTGCCCCTTCTCTTCCCTCTCGTCTATATTAATCTAGATGGAGATACGCCGCTAGGCTGCTTCTCCTCCCTCTAGTTATTCCATCAGTTTTTCTGTGCTAGTCTACGGAATGCTGCCGAAACTCTACTTCAGTATATTGGATCGCCACCAGTATAACCTAGCTCACGACGGAAGCTAAAATCAAAAATATCTTTTGCAATTTTAATTTAAATATATTGTTTTTGTTTTGGTTTAAAAAATTGAGGAAAAATAAATGTTCACATAAAATAAAATAATTTTTCGGGAAAAAATGACAAAATGTTTAAAAACTTCTAAAATGTTCACAAATTTTTTAAGTATGTCCCCAACAATGTGTGTCGGCCTAGTAGCGCAACCAAGGTGGATGCGTGATCGCTATTTGTAAGTGCAGCAAGTGCCCCATTAGTGGTTTTAGAGTATCGATGACAAATAGGTTGAGGAACTAATGAGTTCGTGAGTATACACAGAAGACAGAGTTCCAGAAGATTTGGTTTAACACATGGAAGATGACCCCTAAAAATGTATTTCTTCAAGTGAAAAAATTGATGATGAAATTGGTACGACCTTTGAAGAAATTGAAGTGTGAATACTTTGTTTTCATAGTTTCTTCTTCTTTGAGTCATAGAAAAAATCGTACTGTCAAAGGGGGTCTAGGTGAATCATATTTCACATTTCCAAAGTGATGCTCAAACCTATCCAAACCTATACACAAGTCGCTTCGAATGAAGCCTTTGGAAATCTCCTATACAGCTGAGGCAGTTCATCTGGCCGCTGATGAATTTGGTCATGCTGAGGAGTTAGGAGTTCACCAGTGCGTTCTGCCTAAGAGTGAGGAAATTGAGTGCCCCGACGAATTTGAGAGTTCAAATATCAACCGTTGCTACGCCGTGTGCAAGTTGTCGAGTGGATCCTTATCGTGACAACGGTCGAATGAGAGAAGGGCATTTATGACAATTCATGTCGGGTTGCCCTGGCTACAAATAGCCGTCCCCCACAACCACTTGTTGGTTGGCTGCTCCGAGAGAAACTAACACTTGTCATAAGAGAGCAATCCATCCTCTGATGATTTTGAGAGAATTCTAAGTGAGAAAAAACCCTAGAGCTAAAGTGATTAAGCATCACTGAAGAGATTGATCTGTGTGATCCGACGCCTGTTACCTTTGAAAACTGTCATTCTTTCAGACGGTTAGGCGTCAAGTTTTGGATACACCAAGAGTAATTGTGGTGTGCAGGTGAACAAGTCTATGAAGGTTTTTGAAGTTTACCTTGAAGACTTACCACGAGTGATTGGACGAGGACTAAGTGACCTTAGCTCAAGAGAAATACAGTGAGGATTGTGTGTCCTGTGAGTTGCGACTCAGCCGCCTTAACCAGACGTACAGTTGATGCAGCAACTGGAACTGGTCTATCAAATATCATTGTCTTCACCGAGCCAATCTGGTTTCAAGTTCCTCAACTCTCTCTTACTTTATTCCGCTGCTGAAGGATTTGTGATCTGTGCTCTGACGAATTTGAACTAAAGAATTTCATCTCACTATCTTTCATTTCCTTAGTTCATTTTCTTCATGCGTGTATGAATGTATGATTGCATGTTCTTCACTCTTTCGTATCCAGATTGCATGTACTTTGATATGTGATGACTTAGTTTTCCTTGTGTTTCTATTTCTTCACTCTAATCTTCGTCAAATTCTTCAGAATTTGACGAATTTTTAAAAATCTCCCATTCACACCCCCCCCCAAGTAAACCTGCGCTTTCACTATTCCCTGACCTACGCACGCAATTGAAAATACCGTACAATAGATGGAATAACATAAAAGAAGGTTTTATTATCATGAGAAAAAATTGTCAGCATTGATAACTCAAGTAGATCTACGGTCTAGAACTATATTTTTTAATTAAGATACATCAAGTACATAGATTGTCAAACACCTTACCAATGTACTAAACACATGTATTTCTACACCGAGTTGCAGTGATGTGTTCACTTTAACTAGTTGATACCCTGGGTATTACTGCAAGAACTGACTGCGATATATTTTAATGATATTTTGTATGAAAGGTGGAACTTTGCAATACTTTATTTGTTGTTTAATTACTTTCTTAAAGTTGTAGTACTAAAGTTGAGACACTTATTTGGAGACAGAATGAGGATATAATTGCAAAATATTTATTGAATGTAAGTAGCATAATATAATTTTTAAAGTTATGCATTTTTCCATATACATGGTTGCATATTGTAGCTTTCTTTCTCCTGCATAGTTACATGTTGAGATAGCATGATTACATATTGAGAAAATTATGTTAGTAGGGATCACCTATGAAGTTATGTAGGGTGTGACCCGATTTTTTTTTTTGTAGGATGTGGATAGTTGTCCACTAAAAAGTACTCCCCGTAAAGAGCTGGGACAGTTCTTCAGGAGGCACAAACATTTTACTTTTTCTGAATACAAGCATGGACATCTCAGTAACAAATAGTAACAGTACCGGGATAATTTGCTAACAGGGTTAAAAGGCATCAAGCAGTCAGACTTCTGAGATTTTTACACACCAGGGCAGCAGATTGTCTACACACGATAATAGCAAAAAGAAAAACGTAAACACCCAACAATATCCACAGCAACAACCTAACATATAAGACTACGTTTTTCAACAAGTGTTCATCATGCAACAGCGCATGTATGTACACGGGACATGACATCAGTTTCCTATCCTGGAAACAATAGCTTCACAGCGTGGTCGACGTGGAAAGGCCGTCCAGAGCACGTGGACATTCATCACAAATCCTGCAGAAATTCGAAGGCGATGCCTGGGTCATCCTTTTGTTTGCAATTCAGAAATTTGACAGGCAATGTCATCCTTGTGTTTCTAATGGCTACGCATTTTGATTTGATTGATTCAACTACTTACATTAAAAAGAGGGAGCTCTGGAGGTGGTGCGTGACTGCGCGTCTTCAAAGACTTCCACATCTTCGAGCTTCTCGGGCTTGAGGCAAGCAGGGATGTAAGCGGTGTAAATGGTGCTCATGTTCGGCGTCTCTTTCAGCTGCTGACTTGCCACCTCAAGAGGGGTTTTGGCGAATGCAGGATAAAAGCGTGTATGGCAAGTGTAGGCAAAGATTAAGCTTATTGCGAGGAGTGGGGCAAGGATAGTAGAATAGTAGAACCTCTTCAGGCCGATGATACCAAGCATGGTTGCCTGGTAAATCATGAGAGCTGCAATGATCCTTGTGTGCATGTGTGGCCACATTCGTCCGTTGCTCTCATAAATAGGAACATAAACTCTCAGAACCTGCATTTAGCAATAAGGAGGAACGTAAGGTAAGCCACTTGTGAAATCCGTTCTCTTCAAATATCTAGTGATGGTATTAGTATCACTTCAACAAGGCATGCCTATTTGCGCACACAAAAGAAAGAGCTATGCCTAGGCCAGCCTAACTGTTCAACATACATTTTCGTAAATAAAAATCTTGCTCACCTGGTTTTTTGCTATAAGCCAACCCAGAGCAAAGTAAGCAACGCCAAATGGCAAAATCAAAGGCGCGATGACGGAGTAGCACATCACAAGTGTCACGATAAGCAAGTCATTCGGAACCCGCGTGTTATACCCCAGGTCTCCTGGAGCCCATGCCGCTCTCACCTCATCCTCTGTCTTGCATAGGTACTTTCTTTTCAGGTGGAAAATGATGAGGGGGACCAAACGAGAGAGCTCAAGCCCATATCCAACAAAGAATCTGTTGAAAACAACAATCAATCGGTTATATATCCTACAGCTATGGTGAAATTCAGACATGTGTACAGTGGAAGAAGCTCAGGACAGGAAGTGCATAAATGAGACAAAGTAATTACTTCAGTGCAACAAATGTGAGGAAGAAAGTTGCATTTCCAGGAAGCCTGGAGCCAAGCGTCGTAACAATCCCAGTAGGGTTCTCGATGACTTTTTGCAAAGCGCTGAACAATGAGGAACCAATTGCATAGCCAATGAATACATTGAAGACAATAAAGTAGAAATATTTTCCTGATGATGCCCTTACTACATGGCTCTGTGAAGGAATTCCTTCTGACTTTGACAGGAACACAAGAAGTGTTGGCAGCAAAGCAAGGAAAACAATGAGGGCGATCTGTGGCAGGTAAGCTTGTAAGACTGTCTTAAGTAAAGGTTGGTCCACAACCACCTTCAGAAAGGGCAGCTTCTTCCTCAGTTGTTCCAGCGTTGTAACAGCAGAGATAGCAGTAATGGGAATCATATAAAAAACCACGGTGACGAAGACAATGAGGTAGACCACAGTCTGTCTGGTTTGCCTATCATATATTTTCCTTGGAAGATTGGTCCATATTACAGCACGTGGTTCAGGAGCTTCTGTAACTGTCCATTCATCAAACATCTGAGCATGGAGAGTCTGAGATGCAGAGGCAGCGGCAGCTCTGCTGTTGAAGAAGACAAAGGCCGCCCTTTGCTGTTTCTCACTAAGGGTGCTCTTCTGTTCATCCTCCAGTTTGGGCAGCAATTCCTTAATCTTCTCATTACAATACTCAAGCGTGTCAACCTTTTTACCGATAAGGCCAAGGAATCCCGTCCTATGAGTAGGCCTCGTGCCCTCAGGTCTGTTTGCTATTTTTGACTCTGCATAGACAGCTTCAGCATGAGCAATTTTGTGTTTGTGACCTTCAATCTCTTGGAAAATTTTATCAGCCTGCATAGGGCAATTTTATCATGTAGCAGGAATATAAGGCACATGTCACGAATAATAAACAAAGGGCAACAACTCCCCTAAAGAACCTCTGAGTTGAAGTACCTTCGTGATGTCTGTCACAACCATTGCTTTGTAGAATGTGTCAGGATGAAGTGCTCGGAAATACGAGTCCACCGAGTCCTTTATAGTTTGATTAGGAGGTGGAACAGGAACATCTCTCACCAACATGGCAAACTCCTCTGGTTTAACGTCTGATGTTGATCTTGCCGCTGCTCTCAGATTTGAAACATGCTTGTAGGATCTCCATAGTATGAAATAGGTGACAAAGGAGACCCAATAGACTGCAAATATAAATGCCCACAGCCTCGCACTTCCGTCCTGGAGAAAATATCAAGACACTACTGAGTTTGGTTGTGACGGCGAGCGCCTGAGCTTGCAGTCTGGCAATCCTGTTTACAGGCTGTATGTTTCTATAGAGAAGAGCTCCAGCTAGTGCAGTTTTCAATATTACTATTTTCAACCAAACTTCACATTATTATGAATCTGTAGATAACAATTATGCTACAGGTGATTACAGCAACAACTGTTAAACTGTAAACAGTGTAGATACAAGGAATACTTATCACGCAGTAGAATTTCAGTTCAGTCAAAACTTCAGAAGCGATGGACCTAATGGCTCCTAATAGGACAGTAATGAGACAGATACTGCCATTCTGACAATACAAATATCTAATAATGTGCCAAATTATGCGTTAGATCTACATAATGATATATACGGTGCACTTTTTGGAGCCAATCATCCACCTGGTTATTAAATGGGCGGATCAAGCATGAAAATGCTTCCAGTAGTCTCAATAATTGGAATGTTCTAGATTTATTTGTGGCAACAAAGACAGGTCATTAAGCTCAGATAAGAGGATTACTTACTTGAACATTGCCCAATGCTAATCTTTCAAAATCTGTGACATTCCGCGGCACTCTGCCAGTAGAATCCTCCAGGGCATGATCAGTTCCAGCAACTGGTAACAGAACTGGAAGCAACACAATCCCGGAAAACGCAAGGATTGCCAAAACTGGAACACCAGAGAATAAAAATTCAGATAATTGGCGAAGAATCTGCATGATTTGTTTTTTCAAGCAAGCACTCTGCATGATATATCGACCTACCTATATCTGACCCAAAACGCACCCTAGCCTTTTCATCGCCCTTTTTGCATATAGACTAAGCAGTTTAACATGCTAAATTACATACTTCCAGCAATCCTCCATGCATGATAGTTTTATCTCGTTTGAGCCCGGCCTTCAGGATGGGTGGTGATAACTCCTCTTAACAAAACATACGCATGGCTCTTGCTTGTCTACACCTTTTTCTTTGCAGCTCTATAGCAGCATTAATATAATTTAAAGTAAATTGATAGCAACAATTAGCATTTGTTATTGCCATTCCGGCAGTTCATACAATCGGCCGTATCTTCATGTTGGTACACAAAAGTAAAACAATCAAACATAAAACTAACGTTCTACAAACATGGCAGCAATTTTTAGAAAATAGATGTTCGTTTAGAACAGAATATAGCATGCTTGCAACCAATTTACATCAGAGAAATCATAGTCCACAACAGCAGGACTTTTAATTATTTTTTTGAGAAAAGACGCCCAAAAGGCATCTTAGATACAACAGCAGGACTTAATTTAATATTTTATTTTGTGCACGAAATATTATTTGTGGAAGCAAAAAGAAAAAACACGGAAACGCACAGACGAGTAGTAAACGAATGAATCTGGAAACCAAACAACCAACTCAACCAAAGCATGGGTAAACAAACGAAGTAGAGAGCGTGGTTGGCTTGGGCATACCGGATGAGAGGAAGACGAGGTAGACGGCGGCGTCGACTCCGCTGGCGGCAACGACGTCGGCCTCGGACGCCGCGAACGCTTGGCGGATCCAGCCGACGGGGCTGCGCGTGCCCCGCCCGCGCCCCTCCCACGGGTCGAGCCCCCGCAGCAGCACGCTCGGGTAGTACACCGGCGCGTTCCCCGGGCGGCGCGAGAGCCACGTGAACACCAGGACCAGCACGGCGAAGATGACGAAGGACGTCAGAAGCGACGTGACGAACGACGAGATGTCCATCTCGCTCGCCGAAGCCGCCCCGCTCCTCCTCCGGGGGGGATTATGAGGGAGGGGGTTTAGTAGTGGAGGGATTGATTAACGGAGGGCATTAGGGTGGTAAATGGGTGGGAAGGGGAAAGCATTGGATGCTTTGTGTGCTGTGCTGGGGAATGGCTGGCGTGGTGGGGAGTTTATGAGTTGTGGAGGTTGCCGAGCCAAGGAAAGGGGCAGGGCAGGGAGAAGAAGAGGAAGGGGATGGGACCAGGGAGTTCAGCAAAATGTCTGAAATGCCCCTTTCCTCTTCCGCCTTTTGCTTTTCAATTGTTCGAATCCCTTCCCCTTTTGACCCCCTTCATTCAACTGCATCGCCTCTTGTTAACCATAAGGGCATTTCTAACTGATCCTCAATACAGCCATAAAGACTAAAATTTTACATTATAAGTCATAAAACTTGTATGTAACGATTAATTTGATGCATAAACTTATAAAATATGTGTTTCTGATCATCAAACTTGCACGAATGTTCATATACAGTCATATTTCATGTACGTGAACGTATCGTGGCCTATGTAGGATACCAGCGTGGCCAGGACCCGATGTAAGCCCGAGTCACATGGTAGATCTGCAGACTTTTTCATTTACGTATCATGTCCCTGTTTTTTTAAGGTACTAAGCCCCTAAATAAAATGATTTTTTATTTACGTATTAAGTCCCTCAAATAAAATAAAATAAACAAGGGATGGTTGGGTTTCGAATCAGGGACATGCCCCTACTAGGCTCGGGTGAACAACCACCAAACCAATGATCATACATGTTTAGGTAGCACAAATAATTTTTATATCATATAAACATGCCAAAAAATAAATTTTACAAGAAATGTAACCCCAAAAAAGGGAGCACCGTGGCTCAACTATGTGACCTCGTGGTCAACGTTAACTAAGATTACCACCAGGCTTCGGCAACCAACATGTCCAAATGGGGTAAATATTTTTCATGTTATTATTCCTTCTTGTTCTATGTAAGAACAAATATATATTCTTGTGTTTGTGACATTTAAAAATGTTTATGTGTTAGAAAAAAAAAGGTATGTGACATTCAAAAAAATGCTTAAACATTGCAAAACACATTTGCGTAATTAAAAATGATAGGTTGCATTTTAAAATGCTCATGCATTCCAAAAAACTGCTCATGACATCTTTTTAATGTTTATACAATGTATAAAATTGCTCGTGTAGCTTGAAAATGTTTTGTACCATAAAAAATGCTTAAACAATATTTGAATAAAGTTTCAAAACTTGTATTTAATAAAAAGTTAATCATATGTTTAATAAATATTAAGCATATTTTTTAAAAAAATACTCTGAACATAGATGTATACTGGAGTATTTAAAAAATATGTGTATCAAAACATAGATGTATACTGGAGTATTTAAAACATAAAAAAATGTGTATCATATGGAGTATATGTTTCACTACACATAAGTTTGAAAATTTGTATTTGAAAAAATGTTAATCATTTGGAGTATATGTTTTGATGTCTATTTTTTCCAGTATACATCTAAAAACATTTGTTTAATATTTTTTAAAGATATGATTAACATTCTTTCAAATATGTGGTTAAACACATAATTATCATTTTTTCAAATACAAGTTTTTGGAACTTTTTAAACTGTTACATACTTTTTTTAATACATAAATATTTTTTAAATGTCACAAACACAAGGATATAATTTGTTTTCTTATATCCGGATGTGTTGTGCTGTCGTAGCCTGGTGGTAATCTTAGTTAACCTTGAGCACAAGGTCACATGGTCGAGCCACGTTGCTTATTTTTTCCGGGTTACATTCCTTGTAAATTTATTTTCAGTCAATATTTGTATGATACAAAAATTTTGTCGAGCTACACATGAATGGTCATTAGTCTGGTTGTTGTCCACGTGAGCCTACTTGGGGCACGTTACGGCCTTCAAACCTCACCATCCCTTATTTTTTCATTTTATTTTTAGGGGCTTAATACGAAAATAAAAAAGTCAAGGGCTTCTTTGCAGATCTACATGCAACAGCGGTAAGAGTGGGCCCTAGCCACACTAGCATGCCACATAGGACATGGATTCTTCCGTGTGTATGTGAAATGTGACCATATATAAACGCTCGTGCAAGTTTGACGACCCGAAACACATATTTTACAAGTTTATGTATCAAACTGATCGTCACGTGCAAGTTCTATGACTTCCGATGTATTTACCTCAAAATTTTCGGTTTACTCCCTTACAGCGGACCTAGCCGATTCCCTGAAAATGTTAATGGAGTATAATTTTTACTCCAACTCCCTAATCCCCTGAAGATTTCCCTAAATATACTACTCCCTCCGTTTCTAGATGTAGGGTGTATAGTTTTTGGCATGAATATTAAAGAACACACATGGAAGGATAATTTCACAAGTTTTGGGCGAGGTTACACCTCACTAATTGACATGAGAAAATAGAGGAGACTGCCTAATATAAGGAAATGTAATCAAATCCCCCAAAAAATTATCCAAACGAGTGGTGCAACGCAATATACCTTATATTTCGGATTTTTTCTCAAAAATCTATACACCTTATATCAAGGAACGGAGGGAGTATATCGTGCGGCGACCGAGTAAACCTCCCTCTCACCCTCCAACGCCGCACTGTCTCCC